CAACACAGGCTGCCGAGTTATATGTCTCCAATGCATTCCAGCGCTGACGAAGAGACGACATATGAGGTCACAAGCGCATTTAAAAAAAAAATTTGATTTTTTATTTAATGTTATTGGACGAAAAGCTCTCTCTTTTTGTCCAATAACATTAAATAAAAAATCATTATTTTTTTGTTTGCTATTGACCTAATATGTCATCTCTTCGTCAACGCTGGAAAGCTAGCTTCGTAAAAGCTAGCAGAAAGTCTGAAGCATCGCTGGGGTCGCGGCGTTCAAATACTAAAAAAGCGTCCACTCTACCTACCACCACTACCGAAACCATGAACCGGTTCGAGAGCAGCCAACCCTGGAACTACCGTTTTCCATGACTGTCGATTGTGACGTCGTATAAAAAAGAAATATTCACTTACCAAAATATACTCGGTAAAGACCACCGTTGGCACCTGTTCCAAACGTCGCGGTCGTAATGCATAGTTGCAGAATTGTGTATTACTTATTTTTGTGTTGTAGTTCTACACGAATGATTCGGTAATGAAAATTGTATGTATGTGTATGTGTGCGTGTGCGTACGTGCGTGCGTGTGCGCGTGCGGGTGTCTGTGCGTGTGTGTGCGTGCGTGCGTGCGCGCGCCTGCGTGTGTGTGTGCGTGTGTGTGTGTATGTGTGTGCGTGTGTGTGTGTATGTGTGTGCGTGCGTGCGTGTGTGCGTGCGGGTGTCTGTGCGTGTGTGCGTGTGTCTGCATGTGTGTGTGTGTGTGTGTGTGTGTGTGTGTGTGTGTGTGTGTGTGTGTGTGTGTGTGTGTGTGTGTGTGTGTGTGTGTGTGTGTGTGTTTTCCCATTCTTAGAGCGGGACTTCCAGACCGGCTCTAAGAATGGGGTCTGATGGTCTTCATCATAGGTGGCTTTTGAGTATGCACTGGATGTGAGCGACCAAGGCACTTTTGAAGGAGAAAATGAGCGGTACCGGGGGATTGAGCCTCTCCACCAGGGTCCCGGGGCGCTGATGAGGGGGAGCAAGACGTGAACAATGGAGTGTGAGGGGAAGGGGGAGGGGCATTCGCACAGGAGGTGAGGGGCATTTGGACAGGCCCGTCAGTGGGGGCAAGTGAGCGCGCAGGAGGGGATCTGTAATAGTGAACCCGGTGTGGGATAGGATGGAATAGGTTTGATCTTGACGCCATAAGGTGCTTTCTAACCTAGATAAGGATGGATCGGGAGAAGGAAAGTCTCTTCAAGATTTTCGTAAGCAAGCCAGGGATTCTTGTCGCTGAGCTCGGTTTAAAATTAGATCCTACAGAGGGTCACACAGACTCACTCCGTCACAAGGGGATCCTTGTAGCGTGCCGCAGTCCAAGGCGTGGGCCGCCTCATTGCCCTGATTGCCAAGCGACCCGGAAGTTATTGGAGGGTTACCTCGAGGCTAATACGGTTGGTCAGAAATTTGTGAACACAAGCAAAGGTTTCAAGGGGGAGGGTGACCGGTGACGTCTCGGAATGCCCGACAGGCCGCCTCACTGTCCCTTCAGATTAGTATTTGGTTCTTGAAACGTGTGGGGAAGGTGACACTTTCCGCTATAGCTAAAGTTTCGGCGTATATGGAGAAATTTATATTAATATGATATTATTAAAAGACAGGGGAGTTAATTGTGTGAATGACGGCTCAAGGTGTATCCCGGAGGAAAAGTAGAAAGCGTTCACGTTATATCTGGCGGTAGAGGATGTGGAGGGGGTGTTACAAGAGATACGAGTGGCCCTGTCGGCACGACTGTCTACGTTCCTTTGTGGGTTCATATTACTGAGAATAGCCAGCACCTGGCACATGGAAGTGTAAGTCAAAGATGAGTGGGAGTTAGGATGCGGGGACGTCGTGGCCAAAGTATTGCATGAGGAGGTTGCCTGGATGTGATGCCCTAGGGCGATCTACCTGACCCTGGAAAGGGATGTTGTTGCGTTCTTGGAGTGTATTAAAGAGCGATATTGAATTTACTTTTACTGAGAATTTGTTTGCATACTTTAATGGTGCTCTCTACACCACTACCGTCTACCAATTTGTGGGTTCGTAAATTTTACGTGAACGTGAACAAGAAATAAAACCCGGTAAATTTCTCATTCTGCTTTTGAGGTTATGGTGCAGAGCTCAAAGGGTGTTCACGCGTTTGTGCTTTAAATTAAATCGTTTGAAAAGAAATGCTTCTAAGGCTTGAACTATCTAAGCTTTTTATCTTACCCGCTTTCGAAGCATACATACGTTGTCTATTCAACACTTAGTGGTCAATAACCCGGTGAATCATTGAAAATAATTACTTATACATTATTCAAACGAATTTCGACTCCCATAAACACTCACTGTGAATATAAAAAAAAAGTTGGTAACCATTAAGAAATAGGTTACGAAAAAGTCGTCCATAAGCCCAGAAAGCTTATTGCATTGCTTACTGAGTTCCTTATCATTTTTTTTTTTCGTTTTAAGCCCTTGATACTTTGTGTGAGTCCGTGAAGCGGCACTTTCGAAGCTGTCCGTCCGCGCTCAAATTCTTCTGAAGTGTACGTCGTTCTCAAGACGACTCCATCCACTCTTTTTTTCTGATCAAATCTCTTTTAAAAGTAAAAGACCGTATCGAAATTCGCCCCTACTTTCTAGTGTCACGGAAACGTTTTTTTACCGGCAGTCTCTCACCCCCATGAAAGAAAGTTCCCACGATCTGCCTGAATAAAGAACCGCCATGCTTGATGCTCCAGCTATAATCAATATGCTACCTCTCCGTTCTCAGTTTATATACTCAACTTATTTTGAACATATTGATATAATCGCCAGTACATGGGCAAGACTGCGGTATATTCCGTTTAGTTATTGTTAAACTTTATTAAAAGAAGAATGACACGACTGCCTCAATTTTTTTTTTTTTTTTTAGAGAATAATATAATATTTTTCTGTTCTGCTGCGTTACGTACGATACAAATAATGCAAATAAAATTATTAGGAGTGAAAAAAGTCTTTTATTATAGTGGCAGCAAGTTCAAAATATTGCAAGTGCTCCCGACGACCAAATTCAAAAGTAAATTTAAACTCAAAAAAACGTGTTTCTAATGTTTTAAATTGCACTAATATTTATTTTCGCCGTCCATTGATTAGCCTTTAGGAAAATATCAAAATTACTCCAGTGGCTCGCTTGAATGGATCTTTTTCCAGTAAGGAGTGCCTCGTGACGGTTTCGCCGCCTATTACAAATGGAGGGCAACCGGACTCACCTTCCCCCATAGGAATAGATTAGTGTCGCAAAAGAACAGTGCCCCCCAAGAACGGCGAAAGGGCGGTCAAGGTCAAGGGAAAAGGGTGTGCGCGTGCGCAGACGCTTACTGGAAAAAGGTTCATTCAATCTTTTGAGACCGTTTGCGGAAGGAGGGGGGGGGGGGGGGTGTAATTACAAAATCTTTGGGAACGAAAAAAGAAACACAGACGAATCCACTTAATTTTTAGGAGTCCTTTAATATTTACCATACCGAGATCCACTCTGAAAGGAATGAGTCAAAAAACGTGCGATCCGTGTCACATTCTATATGCACAACACTATCAGTGACAAAACGGTTGCTAGTGCTCGCCCTTATCAATAACTAACCTACATAAGCGAACAAAAATAACTCGTTTCTTAAGTAAAATACGCTTTGATGTGTCGCTAGAATGTTATGAGAGTAGTTCTAGCGACAGCATTCTAATTCTAAAAATACAATAAGAAAAACGAACGATCGTTTGTTCCCGCTTGTTTTGTCGCGCGCTTTAGAATTTGGGATATTTGAGCGTGGCAATATTGCCGCACGCTGGTGCCGGGAAATCAACGCTCGGTCACGGAGCTCTAGAACGTTCTCGTTTATTCTTGTTCCGGGCGCAGCTTCCATCCTTTATTCATGCTTTCTTAATCTAGAAAGTGCGTGTTCATTCTCGCCCCGAGCGCGCTACACTCGAACCTTCTCCGCCGAATCTTCGAGATAGTGACTCACTCTTGATAAGAGGCCGCCCGCGACCTTGTCGAGTCAGTTTCGCCCCAGCGTTCGACTCTGCTGACACGCCGACTTCGACACCCGCGACGCTCTGCTTTCTTCTGTTTCCTTTATTTTTGTCACAAGTTCGCCACATTAAACGCTTATTTATTTCTGTTTATTTCTTGTGTATTGGTCACCACCCGTGACAATATATGCTCCAAGCGTCCTAGTGCAAGTTGTGAATTTGTCCTCAAAACCTTATTCAGGCCACAGTCTATAGGTACTTGTGATTCTGGTTTTACATTAATCTGAGGGTTAGAACCACAGGCTTATATTTATGAGAGATCACAAAAGCAAAACTTACGGACGGCAAGTACCTTAAGCAGGGTCACACTGATCATACATCACACAAAAGACGGTTTACAAACACGAGTCACTGCGATATCCGTGGTTCGCATTCCGCGTGCCAAGTGTATCCTTGAACTCGTTGCCTTGCGGAATTCGAAGCATGGATCTCGTAGTGCCTTGCGTTCGAATACGTTTGCAGACTATTTTTTTTTCTTTGTATAATGTATGAGCAGTGTGACCCCGGCTTTAGGGCTCTAATTTTCTCCCAAAAATAAATAATAACTCTATTATACCCAAAGTGAAATACGTAAGTAATGGCGGGCCATATTCTAAATGGTAGGCGCTTTCACGTTTTTTTGTTGTTGTTGTTGCTTTTTTTCAAAATAGACGATACTTAGCAGCGAATAAAATCTGTCAATAGCCTAACATCGGTGAAAGCGAAAAGTTCACAAAAAAATCGTCATCAACAACATTTTTCACAGATAGAAATCATTGACTTTTTTTACCCCTCCCTTCATTTTTTGTTGTGGCAGCCATTAACCCAATTTCTCTCTTTTTTGTTGTTCCTTCTATCCGCCCTCCACTTTCGTTTATCCCGAAATGACAACGCAACACGGGTCCGCCTCCTCATGTCTTTTTTCCTTCTTTTCTCTTTGTGTGAATCTGACGTCACAGGGGAGGAAAGCGGAAGTGGCGGAAGTGGCTTCGAGGACCTCCGGCTCAACTTCCGGTCCTACGTGCTTCCGAACGGAAGCCTGTGGATCGGCGACGCGGAAGAATTTGACGAGGGCCTCTTGCGATGCCGCGCCCACAACGACATCGGCGCCCCTGTCAGCAGAGAGGTGTCGCTTCATGTGCGAGGTAAAAATACACATAGATCTACATGGGTTATTGTTGAACCCAAATGAACTAGAAAAGGGCCGCGCGATTCTTCCATCACCGAGCACGACGTGAACATGTGCAGTGTTACCTGGTAGACTTCATTTCGTTGTCTAAAGATATATTAGGTATTGACGCTCGCGGAGCTCAATTAGTAGATTGCAATAATTGTCAATCAGTATCCACGGGAAATGAAACTGCAGGTCGGTGTTGTCAGAGAATTTGCTGGACTAGGTAACGGAGACCTTCATAAACAAGGAGGGTGGCTTATAATGTTCACGCTCCTTGCTGCGAGATTTTGTTTTTATTGGTTTGGGGGGAAGCGGGGGGGGGGGGGGGTGTTTTTACCTGATAATACCTTAATCTCACCTGTTACGAAGTCAGAATAGGAGGCTGCGGAATCGCCAAATGTGCCGCGTGATGTCAGTAATTATTGGCGCCTTCTGGTAAATGTCAACGGCCCTTGGCAGCTTAAAAAGAAAGTTGTAGCGACAGGTACGCGTGCGAGATTTTCCCAACGAATCAGATATCCATAGCGCGTTGCGGCCTAAAGTCCTAAGACTGCTGACTGGGCGAGTTGGTAGTTCATGTCGAATAACGTAACAGCGCACAACTAGAGAAACACTCGCAAACTCAGACACGCCAAAAAACATATACACCCACTCGGCGCTGAGAGCGTGTATATTTTTCTGGTGTGTGTGAGTTTGCCAGTGTTTCTCTGGTTGTGCGCTGCTAAAGTCGTAATTGTGAAAGTAGGTTCAAAAACACGCGATGCAAATTTCCTAAAATTCCCGCCTACCGTGTCCCAATAACAAGAGTATGGACCAATAAATTAGGATAGGCCGCTAAATGGACACAATTTTCGTGGACAAACTAAAAAATACACTCATTTTTGGCATATGGTTGAGAAAACCCCGAGACTGCGGTTAAACAACACGACAGTAAAAAGTCTTTTTAGAGACTTTTTAGTGTCGTGTCGTTTACCCGCAGTCTCGGGTTTTTTTCAACCATGTGCAATGTACACCAGCTCATGTGCGCCCTTACTTTTTGTGCATTTTTTGTCTGGTTATATGAATATCTTACATTATGAACGACCGAGAACGGAGGTGTCCATATGAACAAACACCACCCTACTGACGAGCCCTTAGGTGTTCTATGTGACAAAACGGTTTTAAATGCCAAAATTTCCGATGTGAGCATGCTATGAAAGGACCTATGTGGACACTTTCCTGCAGAACACGCGAGTAGCCAATCGCCGCGGAAAACAAAACGGTTTTAATTTGAATGGCAATACCCATATTGCAATTAGACACGATTTTGTTTTCTGCTCGTACAAATTATGAGCAAGCAAAAAAGTACACACATTAACCCCGCGCAAAAAGTGGCTGGTAAGGACTGACGACTGCATCTTAAACGTGCCTATTCACAGTGATGCTCCAGCTGCTCGCAACGATTTGATATTCTAATCAACTTGGACACGAGGCGCGTTCGGGATGATTGAAATTATTTAAATAAATTTATTTGTGAGCCTCGTCGGCCACCCTTTTCTCATTGATTAAAAAAAATCGCATGTAACTGTATGTTTCGAGACTTTTCCATCTGGCACTAACCACTAAGCGCTGCATTTGGCTAGAAAGGTAACTTTCAGCGATGCTTAGCTTATTCGAGGTGTTAATTTAAACACTGTAAATACTTTCTGGGACACCCTGCACTTTCAGAAATTACATGCTCCTACAGACTTCTTTTTTTTTTTTTTTTTTGCAGAGGCCCATTAGGTAGCACATTTTTGTGGGCCAGTGATTGTTTTTTGTCTAGAAATTTAGGACCTTAAATAGCCCCAAAGAGCTTAAGAGTCAATGTTGACCTCCGTCGAACAGAGCATGGGTGTATTGTCTTTTATTCACCAAACAAGTGCCAGAGTTAGGCTTCAGTAGTGGTTGTTTGGCTGTCATGCGGCATCTTTGAACTACATTGCCAAACAAGTTTAAAGCTTCGTTGCTGATTCTTCGGTTGAAGCCTTGACTCAAGTCTAGCACCTTGAGGATTGTGTGGCGAGCCAGGAAAAAGGCAAAGAGACGCTAAAGAAAATGTGATTTGGTGCCTACTAAGTATGTGGAGCAGAACCGTATTACGGCCGAGTTAGGTCCCTGGGATCGCCGAGTTTGTGCAAAGTTAGGCGGGTTTTTTGTTTGTCTTTCTTTCGCGTGCTATTCGGAGCGCAAACAGTTTCTGAGGTGTACCTAAGACGAACGCTCTCTTCTCGCAGAGCCTCCCCAGTTTAAGGAACGGTTCAAGGTGCTCTACGTGCGGCGCGGGGAGACCTTCCAGGCGCATTGCTCCACGTCGTCCGGAGACGCTCCGATCGCTTTCACCTGGGAGAAGAACTACCGACCCCTGAACTGCTCCAGGTGATGGCTGCATCCCTTTCTAATCATGCCCGCCTCGTTAGCCTCTCCTGTGCTAATTGCCGTAATCCCCCTTGGACCGTCCCTAGTCTACTCCGAGACGGAAAAGAGAGGGAAAGCGAGATTGCGACCTGTTTATCCCTGGGGTCTTTGAACATACCATTATTATTGAGGGTTTCCCGTGCGATTCACGTGCATATTATATTATTTTATGAATATATGTATCTTCTTTAGTAAAAGCTAAGGTTCTTGCAATCTAATTTTTTTCTATATAAAATGCTATATGCGGCATTTTGGAGACGAGGTGAAGAGGCATGCGAGGGAAATTATGACGAAAGAAAACGTGACGTCGAGCGAGACTTTAACATTTTTAGCTAAATGTAGTCGGGAAATTATGACATCACGGGATACTAAATTTCTGCCCTAAATCACGGGAAAGCTTTTCTGCTATAATAGTTGATAACATTTCTACTCTAAGCAAACACGTCGTGTAACTTGACGTCATGGTGCCACTTGACGCCAAAGTGTCACATGATCACGTAACGTGACGTCATGGGGCCGTAATCTACACGGCTGGATTAAGCGAGACAAAGGAAATGCACTCTAAAAATGCCTGTGCGTCTACTTCCCCACAAAACACTCAAAGGGCCAATCTTTGCGATCTACGAAATCAGCTTAGCGAATGATGGGGCGAAACATCCGTTTCGGACCTAAAAACAAAGTATGCGTTGTTGCATTACGCAATTCAAAGCGTCATGCTTTCATTGCGTAATGCTACAGCGCAGACTCAATTTTGAGGTCTAAACAGATGCTCCTCCTCATCATTTGTGTAGCTTATTTCGAAGATCGCCGAGGTTGGCTCTTTGAGCGTTTTGCGGGTAAGTAGACGTGCAGTCATTTTTTAGAGTGTGGGACAAGGCGGTTTTCTGCGATTAGTCAGCGGCGAGTCGCTAACCAATCGCAGCAGGTGGCGATGTTATGGTCCTTTTGTCCCGCTTGGTTCCGCCGTGTAGCTTAGAGACCCATCAAATTACATCACGTCACTCTATAACATAACTATTACACAATGACGTCATCCCGTAGTCACAAGAGACTGGGACGTCACGGAACGTCATACTATCACGGGACCACATAGTAACGTCATGGCCTCATGGTTACGTCACAAGGTGACATGAACACCGTCCTCTAAAATTACTGGGACGTAAGTCCACTGAATGTAAACACGGAAGTGTACCCATGTGCAGCAGGGTGGACATGTCCAATCTTTCGTCCAAGTTTCGTTTTCCTTTTTTTTTAACCTTCAGTAAAAAAAAAATAAAAACAAATTGGGTAAAAAAATAGATTGGCGTTACAGTCGTTTCTGGTTGCTGACAACATTCATCACCAAGAATTTGTGGGCTCCATTGGCCGTCATTTCCCGAATAAAAAATTTCGAAAAATTGTTTTAAATTTTGTTTCACCAAACTCTCAAACTTGGTGTCTGGTCTGGGCCATTAACGCCATATTTTGTTGGAGTCTAAGCTTCCGAATTTGCGTAGCTTATTTTATCGGCGGAAGAAACCTCTGGACATCTTTTTTGCGGAGATTCTCAATATACCTTGTCCAATTTTGGTTTTCGAAGATTAAGCTGACTTTACAGGAATGCTGTAGACTTGCCCTTAAAAATGTAACAACGTTACGTCTTTTATTGCTGAAGTGACCCTTAAGACGACCATGCTTATGTTTCTTTTTTTTATATATGATGCAGGTGCGTGACGAGGAATAACAGCGACGGCTCCGACTTGACGCTTCTGGGCACCATTCGTAGCGATAGCGCGGTGTACGCTTGCATCGCTCGGAATGGCGTCGGAGAAGATGTGACCTTCCTACAAGTCGTTGTCCAAGGTACACTTCCGCTTACTCAGGCAGTCCTTGACCATATGGTGCAACTGGAATGTACCGGGGGTTTTCGAGTACGCTCCTCAGGTCAGAAAGTTTATAGAAGGCTAGGAACTTAATCACAACATAATTATAGCTCAACATGTACAAACATCACGATTCGTGGTAATGGGCGTCGGCCTCAGGTGCGGGGTGTAGACATAAACTGGTTTATTGTGATTGGCAACATGTTTCTAAAGTCACTAAGATTGACTCATCTCGCTTTCCTCGGGGAGAACAGCATTTCTATATTATGGCCTTTAAAAGCCCAATGTAATGCCCTTGTAGACTGCAATCTACCGAAGAAACTCGGCAAAATAAGTCTAAAAAAATAATTCACGGCAAAAGGAAGGCAGTCTGCAGTCCGAAACATACGATGACATTATTGTGAGATTTGTAATTTTACAACTTTCACAATGTACAATCTAAAGACTGGTTTGTTTTCACAAATAATTAAAAATATACTTCATGTGCAGCATTTTTTATTTTTTATTACGATCTACACCTTTAGGAGGTCATATGTCAACAAAAAATACCTTATAAAAGGAATACATTCTACTCGGCTGATTTACATTAGACAAAGCTATTAGAGCGTCGATTTCTTCCCTAGCTAGGTATAAACCCCGCGTCCAAGAGAACGTAGGTGCATCGCACTGTTCGCGCTTTCGCGCTGAGCCGAAGGTTGACACCGATGCACCGAGATTATGCATACGCCGAGCCAGCAGTGAAGGCTGTCTCCAATGTTTCGGCGAGTTTCCATGAGGATAGTTGGCGGCGGCCGCCTGTTCCAATTCGAAGGGGGGAAACTTCGAGGTTGCCCGCATCTAGCCGTTCCAACTACGCAAAAGCTGTCGGAGCAAAGACCGCTGGATTTTCACGGGGTAAGATGTATATCTAGCAAAGAATTATGCGGATCCTCAACGCAATTATATTACCAAATTACCCCTTCCTCGAGCATTTCTGTCAACTGGGAAGTGCGAGCGGTATCGCCTGCCAGTGTCATTTACTATCAGAGGCATCGGAGGCTCCTCCCCTTCTGCCACTAAGACAGCATAAGCATTGGAGGATGATACCATGCCCCTTCATACGGTATACTCGCTTACAGCTTAAGAAACGCAGGACGTGGCGAGTTCTGAGCGCCTAATTATTCTTCCGCAGTCAATGGTGCAGTATGAGCCGATAAGAACACCTAGAGAAAATCACAAACCAAGAATCCTAAGCATAATAATCCACACTCTGCGCTTTTGTCACTGTCAGTGACTATGCTGAGCGTAAGTTCGTCTGCTTTTTGCGCGGGGGTTGCACTGACGCCGGAAAGCCGATCTTTGATTGGCTCTGCTTGGCAGGATAGTAGGTAGACCTCAATTCAAGCTGCCTTGAGGTCTACCCACTATCCTTCCAATCGGAGACAATCAAAGTCGGCGTTCTGACGTGGCCGCAACGCCTGCTCAAGAAGCAGACAAACTCGCGCTCCGCATAGACATGATTTGAGGATTGGATTTCCGAGCTCTCTGCTCGTCAGGATGCATTCAGAATCTTCTGTGAAACCATTGCTTCGTTTGCGACAATTGGATATTGATCATTTCCTGGTTTGCTGCAGAGTCACCCGATGCCCCCTGGGGACTGATGCTGACCAATCACAGCAGCCGAACGGCGTCCCTTCTCTGGCACGCGCCGTACGACGGCAACAGCGACATTCTTAAATACAAAGTGCAGTACAAACTTGAACAGGGTAAGTAGCCCATGCCGAAAGAAAATAAAATCCACAGAACGACTGTTTTTTTTTTTCTTATTTTCTGCTTAGCGTACAAAATATTGCTTTCCTTGTATTGTAAAAAAAAGTTTCTTGGACTCGGAAAATTACTCATCTCCTCTACTTACACGCAAATTACCCAAGGAAAGCCATTTATCTCAAACATCGACGAACGAGAGCTAGCGAAGCATAAACCTATAAAGTATTTTATACGTATAAGGTATGCAATCTGGGCCTGCTTGCTCGACGTCTCAGCTGAGACTGGGTGAAGGAAAACACTGGAAAGGATGGGGTGCGCGAGCGCCTTGACACGCGGTTTGAGTCCCGCTCAGCTCCTGCGCTGGCTATGGCAGTGCTGTCTTTTCTTCGGTCTCAACTGAGACGCTGTTTCTAGAAAGCCGGCAATAAGTTGGAGCAGTGGACATGACGATGCAATTTGCCGAGAAAGTGATGGAGAGGAGGAGACGAGAACGTGTGTGGACGTCAGAACGCCAAGCTCCGTTTGGAACGATTAGTGGGTAGACCTAAAGCTTCTCCGCAAGTTTTCTCCGTTGAAAACATTCCAAGCACATATCCAAAATAAGGCGTTGACGAACACACGTGTAAAGTGCCACTTCTTATAAATAAGTGCTTTGCAACGCCTTGTTGGAGACGCCAACATCTGCAGCGCCTGTAGTTTCAATCTCGGCTAGCTCATTGGTGCTTTGCTTAGTTAGCCAAATGTCTATTGTCTAACGTCTCATTTCAAATCGTATCCTTCTCTGGAACATTGGACTTTGTGAGCATGACTATTAGTTGGATTTCTCTAGTTTGTCACTGTTTCTTTTGGCTTTCTTTGACTTGCGGAAACGTATGAACATCGGGATGTCACCGATGATATAACAGAAACTGAATATTATCATTCGCTTTAATTATTTGACGAAGAGATTCTGGATGCTTTAGTTCAATACGTATCTGTTGAACTAGCGTTCAACACATGCGTTGAACACTATGCTAAACATTACCCTGTGTTATCTATATGAATTTGAGCACCATTTTATTGATAATAAAAAAGTTGTCCCACGAAATTATAAAAAAAAAAAAATTCACTGGCAATCTGCCAATATCCCAAACATTTTGACCGAAACTACGCCATCAAAATATACCCCCCTTTAATAAAGCATACCCTAATAAGTATCCGAAAATAAATATCCTGTCCTCAATCATATGCCTACTCATCAATCAAAAGAGATTTCTGGGCATCATCTAAAGCCCCATCGATCATGCTGTGCCACTCTGTAAATAGAATCGTTGCAACATCTAAAAGCAGCGATTTTTTTTTTTTTTTTTTAAATAAGAGTGACGCGTTTACACATTTGCGAATGATATATGACGACCGTTGGACTCTTGTGCAGGGTGAGGCATTCGGAACCTAAAACAAATAGCCGTGTCATGCGCATACGGATAATCCAGATTGTGGACTGAGTCTTCTAATTAGGTCCAAGTTTTTACGGAAGGCTCTGATGTGTCTGAGAGGACAACGACATCGATGTTGTAAATTTGCATGTTTCTTCTCTTATATTTTTGTTGTACCCGTGTATTTTCCAGAATCATAATTTTTTATAGGGCTGTGCGGCCGAAATTTTGCCCCGCATACGCAGCGTCACTCCTCCCCTTGGCGAGGCACGCCCATGGTTGTTAGCAGTACGGGGAGCAGACAACGCGGGTCGCTGGTGCGTTTGTCGTACAGGCCTCCCGCTCCGTAAAGTAGTGTACCGAATGCAAAATGGAAGAGAAACAGGTATTGTTGTCTAGTTGAGTGTCACAGCCTTGTTTTAAACTAAAAGGCAATTCTGTGTTTCCTGAAAAGTTTATTTGGTTCATGGGAGGTGATGCAAGAAAGACCGCCAGAAGCACGAATCGCCAGCCGTGCGGAGGACAGGGTTAATTATTATTTTAGCCAAAAACGTTATTTGCAGTCACCCACAACTGTGCTCAAAATTATCGCTCTGGGGTCACATAAAAAGGTTAAAAAAAAAGACAACAGTACTGGCGCAAATATAAGTCGAGAGGATATAAAGTGTGACAGTAATACTCACGCAGATGCGTGAATTACGACATTACCGCTTTGATGGCAACAGTACATGTGCGCAAACGCAACAAAAGGGGCCTCGGCGTGTAGTAAAATTTTTAATTTTGTTGTTTGACTCACTCAAAACGCCTGGGAACAGATGAGCTGTGGCCGTATTCGCGTCTCGCTTTGGGTATTTATACAGCTTGACCTAGTGTTGCGGTCTGGCAGTGCACGCCTCGTCATTTACTTCACTCGCACACATTCAAACAGCCGCAGCAAGCTTCAGCAGTCGGTAACTTCGACTTTCTAGGATTCACTTGCCCGAATTCAAGTAGTATGTGTGAAAGCGTAGCTGTGCGCGAAAAGACAAATTGAACAATATATAGCGTCCTCAGCTTTGCCCGAATACTTCAAAATTCCAAGAGCGAGCGAAACTATAAAGAACAACAACAATTATCTTGGGCCGGATGTCATAGGCGACGCTGCCCCGCACTTGCGAGACGCACTTTGTGTCTGACGAATGTTCTTACGCCTGGATTATCTCCTCCACCCCGGAGATCTGGCACACAGGCAAGTTTTTTGACGGAGGTTCACGTCCTTAAAAAAATTATTTACCGTTCTCCAACAGACAGAAAGCCTCAATAATATTGCAACGCGGCCGGAGTGGAATTTTAACGTGTTCATTGCCCTTCCAACCGGATCCTTACTGCTATGGATGGCGGTGTCGCGAAAGGCCGCGGCGCCACTAGTATTGCTTTTGCCTACCCTTTGGCCGGCCGAACAAGATTCTAAGCAAAAACTTTAAAAAAAATAAAGGGAAGTGGAGAAAACATAAATTAATTAGGGAAACAGCCAGCCACCCATGGTGGCCGTAAGATAATGAAAAAAAAACAAAAACATCTTGATCAGGTAAATAATTAAATAAACTTACTAATCAACTTTTAATTAGTGAACATAAATACATGCTTCCAATTAGAAAGTTGCCGAGCACCGTCAAAAAGCACGAAGGTAAATAGTTTTAGAAAACTGTGCGCTCCGAATCAATGCTCGATTTGAACAAGTTCCTTGGTTTCGGTTTTCCATCAGAACGCATCTTCCGCCCCAGCGTTTGCGACTTCATGTGTCGAGGCGGACACCGTACGTGCGCCACACTTTCTTCAATCCTACGGGATAGGCGACGCGGCAGCTGTAGTCCTTGGCCACGGGGGCGAGGGGGGGGGGGGGGGGGGGGGGCGGCCTTGGCGGCAAGATGCGGTTGGCGAAGGTTTAGTCATTTTTCGAGGATAAGTTAACGCTCCAAGTGAATAAGTTAACATTACATAGCTCTCACTCCAAGCAAAAGTGTCTCGTCTTACACTCTTTTTGTCCCATATAATTCACCCCAAAACTTCAGGTTGACGTACAGCGCACGGACATCGAAAAGTCGGTCCCAACTTCTACGAGGGGCTTGGTAACGGTGCGATATAACTTAATAAACAGCTACATTACTTAACGAATGCTACAGAAACATAACACAGGTTTTGCAGTAGTGCTAAGAAAACTCCGATTATACGTTTGTAGTGAGTAACACGTACATTCGCTATTTCAAAGAGTTGTAGCAATCGGCTATCAAGCCGACCATGGAAGATGGCACCGGCGGTTTGACGTTCACTGCGCTGTGCGTCAAACTAATTTTTTCAGAGTATCTTATATGGGACATAGGATGTCAGAATATATATATATATATTTTTTTTTTCTGAGAGTGCTTGTATTGACGTTACAGCCGCCATTGCTCTGCAACATGCTCCCGTGCCTGTACATTCTCCAGCATACATTTGACTCCATCGATTTTCTTCTCCCCGACAAAGGATTGCCAAGAAGAATAAATTCGATGGTACGAAATGTATGCTGCAGAAGGCACGGGTACATGAGCATGATGGCACGGAGGAATGACGGTAGCTACGGCGCCATATGACATCACGTGCAAGGTCGCCTAATAACAGGTGGCATGCATCGCAACCAGTTGCAAGGCCAGTAAGAGACCATGGTCGCTAAAAAAGATTCTTGTCCAACACATATTATCAAGTCTTTGCAACACATGAGAGTACGGTATTGACTGAAAATAACAATTAGACACAAATCGCAAGCCAAAAAACGCCGGCATAAATGCCACTCTCTGCTATTTTCAAGCTTTCAGCTACTACACGAAGTTCGAAATAAAGTTATCAGCAACGATAATCAAAGCTCCCTAGCCTAAAGCAAGCATACAAATAAAACTATCTCCCACATCTAAACTCGACATTTCACTCCTTTTATCTCCAACCTGACCGGATCCCGAGGAGCGCTCACACGCTCGGGGATACATCCGCCGACGCGACGAATTACTATGTAGCTGTCACAAAGCCTTCATGACTCAACAGTTTCCGACAACGAGCTTTCTCCTCTCTGCGGGGTTCCGGTTCAAAGTCCCAACCCTTCGTGCGTAGCTCCAACGTCGGTTGGACCGATGTGAACGTTGTGAGCAAAACGTACCAATCACTCACCGCCGATTCGCTGACTCACTACCACTCCGGACTCGACCCGCCAATCACTACCCGCCGTGGCCTTTCATTCGCCGGGTCACTCGAGGTGATTAAAACTCGTAGGTGACGGGTCACCTTCCCGCAACTACGCTTTGGAGACTGTTGGGCGCTATGTATGCGGTTCATCCTTACTTGCGGAGGAGAATTGCAGATGTTTCTAAGCGAACCTATCGTAGCGCAACTCTGCAGAGTGCTTCCAGTCGACTCAGTGCTGTCACGGCTCCGACAACCGTAGAAAGCAGACGACTCACTCTGCATAACGAGAAGACGACGACTCGGTTCGCGTCTCGTCTGCGAAGCCGTTGCCTTCTATTGTCATGCCGGAGTTTGAGTTTTGTGATATTATTGGCGCAGAACGACTTGACATTTCCTTCGTCCCTCTTTGGCGGAGTTTGGGGAGGAGGAGAAGGGGAGGGGGGGGGGGGGGGGGGGTCTTCGCTTGTCCTCACTTTTCGCGTCAGTTACCCCGAGATTGGAAACGCCTTTGTTCTGTTATTAGAACGTTTTCTTTCAGAATACAGATTAAAGCATTCAGTGACCTCTTTTTTTTTCTATTTATCTACATTTTAGGTTCTAGTCTTTTGCAGTCTGAATATTTGTGCGTCTGAAAATGTCTAGGGAGGCAAATAATTTACTTCGTCTGACGCGAGTGTGGGTGTTCGTTTTCGGATCACAGGGCTTAGAGTTTGCAAGTCCTTTTTATTTATGTAGTATTTGCTTTCGTTTTTACGTTTTATATGTTTGAGGCCCGTTCCCCTGTTTTTCGGTGGCGTGAGCGTAAACGAAAAGTTTTCCCGCTAAATATAGTGGGAAAATTTACGTCACGAGACCTGGGCACCAATTCAGTTTCCGCACTACATTTAGCGGAAAACTTTGACGTCACGTGAAGTCTGCATCAATTCAGTTTCCCCGCTATATTTAGCAGAAAAATTGACGTCACGTGATGTAAGTTTCAAGTCAGTTTCCCCGCTAAATTTTGCGGAAATTTTATATCACGTGACCTGACGTTACGGGACCTGCGGTCGAATTAAGCTCCCCCTTTAAATTTAGCGGATACATCTACGTTCTGTGACCTGTGCACCAATTGAGTTTCCTCGACAAATTTCGTGCAAAAAATTAACCTTACGTTACCTACGCTGCTAAATTTTACGTTTAAAAAATTACGTTACGTTACTTACCCTGCTAAATTTTGCGGGAAAATGGATGTCACGTGAAATATCCATCAATTCAATTTCCCCGGTTTTCTGGGCCCCTTTGGCACAGACCCTGAGGACGCGAATATGATGATTTATATTATATGAGAAATTTCGCTTTGGAGACCAGGTCAATGAGACTTTTCATGACCTTGTGCTGCATGTCTAGAGGTCCTGCGAGGGCATTCCCAGAGTAGGTGCTCTTTTATATATGTGGTATTTGAACCTCTGTTTTGCTTTTAGAATTTTTCGGTTTGTTTCTTATTTGTAAGTCCCGTTTTTGTTATACATATTTAAATATGTGTCCGGTTTTATTTTGTTTGAGTTTTAAATATTGCACTGACATAATATTATCATCGAGCCTCTCTCTCGAGAGCCAAAATGTAAGAATATTTTTTAACTAATAACACTCTTTTTACTTCAAAACGTTTCGACAATCTGTGCTAAACCGTAATAACTTTATATGAGCGTAGCTTTTAGTAACTTTGCGGTCTATCTTCATAAATACCGAAAATAAAGACCATGATTCAATTATAGAAGAGTGAATGCCTTTATCAAGCACGAACTTAAAGAACATATATATGTTTTGTTGCCAACATTTCGTTTTACTAGTACCTGTTTGATAAAACTAAGACGTACAGTTCTCAGAAACATCACTTTTAACATCATAAAAGTATAATTACACGTTTACGGCGTAACATAAAATATCCCCAGAAAGGAGTGCTAGGAAATGGATCTTGCTCAGTGTACTCAACAATACCTAGGTCACGATGTTTGCTCCCCATCATTAATCACAGAGTTGCTGAGCGGTTTCGGAAGAGAGATCGTCGTGCCTGCCGGTGAAACCACCGCTACCCTGACGAACCTGCACCCGGTGTCCACATACGAGATCCGAGTTGTGGCCGAGAACGCCTTTGGCGCCAGTGCACCAAGCAACGTCACCGTCGTCACCACAAAAGAAGAAGGTGGGTCACTCAAGTCCTTCGCTCACCGTGTCCTCAGGAAAACTAATGCGTATAGTCTTTCCCCACAAAAAATCGTCATAATCAATATTTCTGATATGCAGGAATTTCGAGATCGCTACTTGGTAAGACGGATTAATTAGCAAAGAAACGGTGTACTATTAATATTTTTACAAAAGCGACTTTAGCTGGTGCATTTATCATAGTCAGGGATTAGGCTTATGAAAAAAAAATGCAAGCAAATAAAAACTAGATGTTTCTTATTCGCGGAGGGAAAACGGAAGTAAACCGTTTGATTCTCACTGCTAGTTACCTAAGGTACGACACACTTTCGGAAATGCTTGGTCTGCTTTAGGACGTTCAGCCCTAACACTCTGAAAAGTTTTTGTACCACTTGATGTTAACGTATGTGAGCCTCTGCATCAACTGCCGCTGCCGCGCATAGAAAATAACCGTTTATACTATCTTGTATGTTTTTTTAAACCTCCATTCATGTTTTTTCTGGTAAATAAATAAACATCTGGACACCTCTTTGTCAAACATTTCATTATTAATGTTTATTTGCTTATTTATATTGTTTTTATACGACCGAGTCAAACTCTGAACCTAACAGTAGAGCCTCGAAAATGCTGGCGCGTTTAAACTCCCAGTAAGCTATTACCTTTACATTTCCCTTTAAATCGATTGAAACGTCAATCACAGCGACCTACACATTTTTAAAAAGAAATCTCAAAATGGCAAGACATGAAAAAAGGATGTGATGGAACACTGAGCAGAACGTTTCACGCGCTCACGGGATCATTAGTTGTGATAACTGATGATCACACCAAGTTAGCGTAACTCACTTCAGTTACTGGGTTGGTTTCCCCACACTCCAATACGCCATGAGGAGAAGCATCTCCGACAGAGCTCTCTCAAAAGATTCAGATCCCAGTTTTGAATTGACGGTTTTATAGTAGAGCGATTTGCAGAGTAACACAGCTTTTGTTTTTTGGCTGTTTCTTTTTGGTGCAATATCCTTCCACGAAACGCTTGTGTGTTCGTCGGTACGTAAGTTGCTAAGGAAGGAGTCACCAGCTACTGCGGGTTTCAATATCTACATGAAAGTCATTATTTGATTCTCTCATTATTAGATTCCGTTTGGCTCGCTGGCAGATCGAGTAGACGATAGAGAGATCCACATGAGCTCGGCTATTTTTTTTTAAGTGCATAGAGGGGATCTGTGTTCCTAGTTTTTTTGTTTTTTTTTGCCTCCGATTTTGTGACTCCGATTGTTTTGTACAGCGCTGTGCTCATGTAAGCGTACACTAATTATAAATTAGGAACGCTTGGAGCACAAAATGTCTATTCGAAATGCTTCTGCTAGCAGCCGCATCGTGGCTCCACTGGCTTGTCGCCCGCTTCGAGTACATACGTACGCTCGTAGAAAATCACTTCGCGATATTGGCACCGCGAATGGGATGTTGTCAATTTTCAATAATTTACAAAAACAGACAAGTCTCATACTTTTCATTTCGCCATTTGACTAAGTGCCCGGGATAAGCACAATTTACCACACTAGTTACGTTTTGTGGCCGACGTACAAAAAAATATGCTTTCGCACGGATGTTTGTATTAAGTGTGCCACGGTCTTAAATGTTGACGTATTTTGAAACCTCACTGAAGTAGTGGCAACTGGTTTCATGTTTTTGTCTGTATTTTCCTCTCTACCTCAACAGCACCCTCAGGACCTCCAGTCTCAGTCAGCCTGTACACCACAGGCTCGCAGTCTCTGAAGGTCACGTGGAGGGTGAGTTGTCCTTCTAGCAAATATGTTACGTTAGATCATCTAGCACAAAAAAGCTAAGGAAAATAGGCACTCTAAATGAGTCTAAAGCTTCGATGTCTAAACTTCAAAGCGGTAAATATGTCACTTTAGAGGAGTCCTTTGGTGTCCTCTTTCTTCCCGTTCTCAACAGCCTCCATCGCGTGATCAGCACCACGGTGTCATACTGGGGTACCACGTGGGATATCGCGTGGCGGACGGGGCTGAGCCTGGCGCTCCGTCCGTAAAGCAGGTGGACTCCCGGGGCGCTAACTCTAGCCACGGCCTGGAGACCACATACCTCACCAACCTCAGGAGACTTACCAAGTACGCCGTCACGGTGCAGGCGTACAACGGTGCCGGCAGGGGGCCTAGCTCCGAAGAGGTCTACGCAACCACCCTTGAGACAGGCAAGTCACAAAGTTTCATGTCAGAGAAGCGCCTAACGTGCTACAATTTCGGCATTTCTAAGGGCCTAAATTTTGCCTCATAATATATTTCTGCAAGGCGTTAGTTAATGCCAGATTAATATTCTTTGTCTTTTCTGTCCTCTAGTGCTCCACGTATTTGCTAAAGCGCCCGATATAAACCAGAAATGTCGTGTATGAACCAACCAAATTACAGTGAGCACTGGCCCTTGTTCGTCAATTTAGGCTCAAACTTACCTGGTTAAAACCGAACAACAAGAAGTGAAACCTAATTCTGGCATTGATCTCGCCGAGGGATTCTAAAAAGAAAAAAAAGCTGCTGACTACCAAACAACCATGAAATGAAGCCTAACCCCGGAACTTGTTTGGGAATCTAGCGTCAAATGTTTGGCGTAAAATCACACAACCAGAAGCTAAGCCCAATTCAGGCATTTCCTCGGGAGACGGGTGCCTAAAAAAGCCTGTTAAAAACCGAGCCATTGAGAGGAAGCCTAACTCTTGTACTTGTTTGGGAATCTATAGTGTTGTTGTCAGGTTGTCAGGTAAAAATCGAACAACCAGAGTTGTCAGGTTGTCAGGTAAAAATCGAACAACCAGAAGTAAAGTCCAATTAAGGAAATTTCTCGGGGGACGGATGCCCAAAAAAGCCTGCTGACAACCAAACAACCATGGGAGTGAACCCTAACATAGGTGCTTGTTTGGGAATGTTTGGTCAATGTACACAAAATCTTGAGAGCGAATATCAAAGTTGGCTATACCTTAGTTTGTTAGGGGGGGGGTGGCCTTCAGGACCCTAAATTATCAGTCACAAACTAAATGTTGGCCTAAAGAACTACTCTACTTGGGAAACAACTTTTGAGATAAAAAAGGCAGTGGAATTGTGATGTCACCTGCCGGAAGGCAGCGCTGGGTGAAGATTAGGCAGGACTGCCGCGTCAGCGTCGGCATGTGACTGTAAACTTCTGACTGAACCCGAGTACTGGCAGAACGATATCTTCTGGGATTCAGCATACTGCTGTATACTTTAAAGTATATGGGTGCACTATGTGAAGTGGAATAGGATAAAGAATGTTATATTTGCTTAGAATCCACTCTGTAGCTTCAACAAACGAGTTGCTTGGTTGCGACGTAATATGCAGGATGTCGTAAAAAAACAATTTGCCGGGTTTTGTACACCGCAAAAATGAAGTCGCACCACCGCAGGCTAGTTCTCCACCCAAGTGAAACGCGAGCGGTCCATACCTGATACCAGAATTTCAAAACTAACCGTTATCTCGTTTAAAAGTCATAGGGGATTATCTGAAAATTTTAAACGGAAACGGGTTGTGTTTTTCAACGTTATGGAACAGGCGCTTTTCAGTTATGTGTAGTCGAAAGCTCCGTCGTCCGTCAATTTTCCATTGAAATTTTTGCAAAATCACTTATGACTTTTTAATAGGATAATGGTTAGTTTTGAATCTTTGGCCTCTGATTCAGACCACTAGCGATACTTTTGAGAGGTGAATAAGCGTTCGTCAATGCGTAGTTTATATTTGCAGTAAAACAAAAACCTGCAATTTTTTTTTAGAAACACCCCCGTGCGTTGTAGAACTCAACATACACGTTAGATAATATACAAAAAGTATCACTAATAGGATCATTTTAGTGTGCAGGCGAGGAACAATAACGCAAATGCGCACGTTCCGAAGGAAATTCCTCGGTGGTTTGTTTTTCTTTCAATAACTGCAGCGCCTCCAACGTCCCCTTCAGTTCAAGTTGAACCTCACTCTACCACGTCCATCCTCGTCCAGTGGAAGAAGGATCCGAAAGACAGGTCGGAAAACACAGGTGAGTTTCCCCACGTTTTGTTTTATATTTGTGAATCTCCTCATCTTCGAGGGTCCATAGCAATGTTCAGCAGATTGTTCTGTATCTCTGGTGTTCCGAAAAGCTGCACACATTTACTAAAGTACTTTTTTGCGACATTGTATAAACACAGAAAAAGAAAAAAGAAAGACTAACTCATGCCGCGCTCACTGATTTGTGAACGGAGTTGTTTTCATTCGCCATATTTTCGTAGTCTGCGGTATAAATTGAAGGTTCTCGTAGAGTAACATTGACTTCTCTCAATATGACAAAATATACCATCTAAATTTTGAGCGAAAAATATTGATTCCATTTCGGCACATAATAAAATGTTTTATAGGAGCAGTTTATAAAACTATAACGGTTCATATTACACTTCACTTGACCAAAACGTGGTGATACAAGTGATTAAAGACTAATATATGAAGGCCTTATTCAGCGCTGCTGAACATGTTGGATTATTTATTACTGCTACCAGGAATCTGTATTATATTCTTTCTGCATCTTTTTAAACGTGACTTAATAATAATTAACTTCAGCAGTTACACCATATAACAAGAGGAATTCAGGTGTTTCTCCCCAAAACTGAGGTCCGCTTGCACCCCCCTCTAGCACCATTCACTGGCCTTAGAAACTTCGAAGCAACTGGTGTTTAGCATAGAAAGCCTAATAAAGCGCTGTTATCTGACTACGAATTGGTTGAAAGCAATTTCGATTAGTCTAAAATAATTCGAAGAGCGCCGCTGGGACGTTCTGGTTTTAATCCGCTCAAAAGTTTCCAAATAATTTAGAAGAAGAAAAAAAGATACACTTTAGATTTAGTAATAGTAAGGCTTAGATAAATCTATTCTCAGACTTTGCCGTAAAGGTCGTCCCCTTCAAACACGCATTGCAGTCGTCTCAATTAACATTTCTAGGTACTCCACTCAAAGGGTGAAACTTAAGACATTTCATTTAAAACGCCTCCTCATCCACCGCTGCCGTCCCAAACTCCGTGCAACTCAAATCGTAGAAACGCCTACCGAAGCTTAAGCCCCATATAGCCAGCTGGTACGGATTTAAAACAATGGCGACTTTGAATCTATCGGTTCCTACAGCTAAGCGGTCCGAAATGATTTACCCGTCTAAAGCGACCGTAAGCGTATTGATCGACATTTGCCGAGCGGTATCCGGGGAGCGAAACGTATTATTCACGACCGATTTTTTTTTGTTTCTTCGCCGGATGCGATTATCCACCTCAAGACGTGAGAGAGGTTGTCATTTTTCATTCCAGCAGCCCTTTTCTCGAGGCTGTCCTCGCTTTGGCACTCGAGGCTATGTGTTCGCACAAAACGCGACGACGCCCCAACACGTTTCCTATAAATGAGGATACCGTGCGATTCATTAATTTGTGGAACGGAAATTAATGAATGTCGAATGTGAGGGCTATTGGGAAATACTTAATGACATTTGTGGTGGGAACATTCGCAGATGGTATCACTACTGCGTTTTGTTTTCTACTTGTTTGCTGATTTAGGCTTCATTTGTACTTTCCTAGTGTCGTTTCTTTATTTTAGTGCTTTTTTTGTCCTCGTTATAAAATTTCCATATACTGTTCGCATTGTAGCAGGAGCCTGTAGCAGGAGAAGTAGAAACACGAAAGTAATAACCAGTGTTTTCACAAAAATATGGACATCGTCAGCGCTGTGCTGCACCGCGGTGGAGATAGCATAACAGCAGGGCTCATACCTGAGCTAGTTAGTAGTGGTTCGTGCTCAAATAAAACGCACAGAAATAACCAGGACACAAAAAAGAGGACAGGTACAACAAACCAGCCCTTATTCACAACAATAAATTTAATAGGAATTTTTAAAAAAAATCTCTTACGTAATCCGTAAGGTGAAACACAAAGACAGATGTGGTAACGCCGCTAAGGTGTCATTTCGGAGTTGATGCACCGAAAGAACGGTACAGGTGCGAGCGCGCAACTGAGTCCGCATAAGCGTTTCGCATTACAGAGAGTAATATCCCGTAGAAAAATTGCATTGCGTTTTGGAAGTAATGGGGGTGTATTAAGTAGAGAACATTTTCATTTGTGTAAGAGGAAGGCGTGTTTTCGTACGTCATTTCGGAACAAATAGTCATATTTGCTAAACGAAAAGCGCAAATGAACAAGGAGAAGGAAGCACCCAAGGCGAAGGGCACTGTCAGATAAATGTTTGTTTAAAGAAACAACCACTATTAATATCATTGTTCTGGCTATTCGTTTAGAAAACTAGAAATCTGCACCTGTCAGGTGCCTTGACGGGGCACTAAAGCACTTGCTTTTCCCTTACTTTTGCGACATAATGCATCGTAAAATTCTAGGAAATTTTTATCTGCTAATTTTGTTGCTAATTTTGTATTACATGGCCATAAATCCCAGTACACTGCCAGATTTCCCGGCGTGGACTGCTTTGGTCACTATTATGTTATCTTGCTACCTTGAAAGGACCTGCATGATATCTTGCTTGCTTGGTATCTTGTAATCAGCGGCCCGCGGATGTTTTGGCGGAGTGCCGAAAGAGGCCGGCGTCATTATGGAGCGGGGTTCATGGCGTGAAACCGCGAATTGTACCACTAACAGCTATCGCTGTAATATCGCTGTTTTGAAAATACAAATGTTTACGTTTGAAAGTGCTAATATTTTAGGAAGATATAAAAAGTAATTAGCGCAGGAGGTCTTGAATGGTTTTAACACCAAAATTTTGGGTCATGGCTGCAGAAGCCACACGTCACTTGCTTTGACAGATACTGAGGAAGAACTCCTATCGGCGAGAGTGCTACGCGCGCGTCAAAGTGTTTTTTTTTTTCTTATATATTATAACCGTTTAGAGAAAGGGGGGGGGGGGGGGTGGCGGCGCATGTGAAACCTTGGAAAAGGGCAAATCTTCGTTTCTTTTTTTGGAGTTACTATATTAAACACTCATTTCTGAGTATGTAGTTGTTAGCTGCACGTGTCCTCTCATTTGCGCTATTTTTTGTGCGCGTTTTATCTCATCAAGAGACAGTATATATTTTCTGGAAACTCAGAATGCTCGGTCATCCTCACCACCAGAAAAAAACAACTCAGCAAAAACATGTTGTCTTAAATTATATTCCAACTGGATAAACTTACTGCCTTGCAGTGGTTTCGAAGGACTATACTTTGTTCACCTCTTGGGTTAGAGTGCAGTGCTAGCAACGAGTTTCCACGAACAGTCAACAGACTCCCTTTCATCTCCTGAACCCTATGCTTTGTATGTGGGTATGGGGGTGAGTGTGATTATGTGGCGAATTATAGACGTAAATGACAAGTGCGACGAGCACGTTGCTTTCACCGGATCTATTAACTTAGGGGGGAAGCTACACTCCTTTTCACGAAAACTTGGCAAAATGTGGAGGCTGCCGTTCCAGGGACCCAATAAGAACATCGGAGCAAGATACGCGATTACACTCTATGGTTTAGGCCACGGGGGCATCGTTAGCGCTACACCAACTGCAGTGTCTGCAACAGAACGTAGTTCCTGACATTTTTCTTTCTTTTTTTCCTTTAACTGCAATTGAACTTGCGCGATTCTATTTCTATGGAGAATATATAAAAAGTAAGGAATAAGTCTTCACAGTTTAGGAGCTTCAATTATATTTAGACAAAAAAGTGTTACCACATTCGCATCCGCGCCCGACAATTTTTCTCCTGGGAGCGCGGTGACCGTTCGCGATCCCAGCCGTGTAATCGACCACTTCCGCTTAAAACAACTCACTGGGCCCTGACATTAGCACCCGCCAGAAATTTGCGGGTAAATTGAGCGTATAATTGTCTCAGGAACTGTTCCCAAAGAGTTTCGCTATTCTAGAGGACGAAAATGTTGCGGCGTGGGACGTTCACTCGGAGTGTGTTAGTTTCGCAGAAGACGAGTCTTGGCCAGCAGACGACAGCCGGTTTCTTCGGACCTTACATTTGGCACAGGGACACACACGCTCCCGTGACAGGGTGTCACATGCCTCGCTCCCGTGACAGAGTGTCACATGCCTAACTCTGACGCTCTTTATGGGTCGAAGGGACCGTAACCTCTGCAGTTCGCCAAGTTATCGTGAAACGGAGCATAGTAGCTGAAGGGAAATATCGCTCACCTGAAGCGCCCCTCTTGTCTGCTATCTTTGTAGCAGAAAAAAGAGATACCGGCACCTAAAAAGATAATATAAGTTAAAAAATACACCTCCCTACGCAGACCAGTTGCGCGCATGAATACGTGGTCAATAAAGTCGGTAAGGAACAATATGAAAATGCTCTCGCGACATCCTCCCGACCTTTGTTGCAAACGTGGTGCCGAAAGGCGCCACTTCGTTTGACGCCATCATTTAATTTCTTAAACGCGTACCGTCATGCCAGTGATGTGTGCGTTCTTTATTAAGAAAAATTAGGTATTTCGTACTCCCTGATTGGTGTAACTCATCTTGTAAAATCTAGGCCGGAACCTGTGAGAAGACGCCAACTATTTTTTTTTTCAAGAATAAACAGAGAGGTTATAAAGTCGAGTCGATTTGAAAACCGCTGGTTAAACCCTCAAGCAAGAAACAATGGGCCATTTTAGAAAGTTGCCGGTTCAGAAGGTTCTGGTATTAAAATACGTGAACAATACGCGAATTAGAAAGGAGAAGGAAGGAGTGTCATAAAGTGAGTTTTGGAGCGAAAAGATAAGCCACAATAGGAACAAGGGAGACTTTGGGGGAGCCCAAACTAGGTTGCCGCAGCTCAATAGAGCCAGCCGGATCTTGTTTTTTTGTCGAGGGAGTGCCCGCGCTCGCTTTAGCACATGCTCACGTATTTTCATAACAGAACCTCCTGAACGCCGTTTTCTGCTAGGTGGCGCCAGTTATTTCTGAAAAGGGGATGACGGACAAAGCAACCAAAATTTTGTTGAAGGAGTATTTTATGTGTCTCATGGTCTAAACAGAGTTGCGTTCTTTCTTGTTTTCGTTGTGCAGAGTACGTGCTTCACTACGGCGGTGATGACGGTGACTGGAAGAGCCACCAGCTGGCAGCACACGAGAGGCAGTTCTTGTTGCAGAACCTACGGTGCGGCTCCCAGTACCGATTGTACGTGACTGCTTCAAACAGTCTCGGCATGGGCGAGCCGGGTGAAGAGGCCGTTGTGCGGACCAGGGGATCCCGTAAGCTATTGATTTGTTGTTTACCCCTTTTGCTATACTTTCAGAATCTCATGAATCAAAACTTCACTACGATAGTTCAGGACGCCACTGATTGTTCTGTCTTAAAAACGATGAGCCGATAAGAAAGACGAGTTGTACTGCGCCCTAAACAGTCATGCACTCTCAAGAGCAAAACGGCGTACACACAGTTTACACTTAAAGAAGCATGAGCATTTCATAACGGTCTTAATCACCTTTCTTTTTTGTTAACGTTATTAAATGAAAACCAGTAATTCGTGTTTTGGTGCATTTTGGTGCAACATAGTCCATTACCTTGAATATGTTCGAATCGTCCGTGCTTCGCAGAGAGATAAACATAACATGTTTATGTTATGTACATTGGTGCGCGACCGAACTGAATATGGCGCAGTCCAAATATGCGAACATACCGCCAGCCAGAGTGTCCAACCGAAACGGAACTGAACCAAAATTCGGAACCTAACCGTTATTTTAAGTCGAACCAGAACTGGACCGTACCGAAATCTTCGCCGCCATCTTGGAACTGAACCGGAAACAAATGTAGCGATAACCGAATCAAAAATGTTCACGGTATCCTTTTCATATTTTGTTAGTATCACATGATAAATATTTGAGAATAAAAAAATGGCCGCTGGATTTCTATGTAGGTATTGATAAAATAGTTGTATACAGAATTCAAATGCATGAGAAATTATGGGTTTTCGCTGAGCTTTTGCATTGACACTGTGATTAATCAACTGCCACGCGGTCATTCGACATCTTGATGTCGAGGCGTCGCGTGACTCCGTGACATTAGAGAGTTTTCGTAGGTCGTTTTCGCCGTCCCGCATCGCTCTCCGCAACCCGCTGCGATACCCGAAACTCTACAGTCAAGGCCATGGACGCGCAGGCGCAGTAGCGCCTTCTTCGTTGCGGAAGGCTTAGCGGAGGGGTAAACGCGATCTACGAAAACTATCGATTAGGAAGTTTTCGTTGATCGTTTTCGTCGTCCCGTAACGCTTTGCACAATTCGCTACGATTACAACGATAAGGTTTAAAAAAACGCCGTATTAATAATGTGTCATGTGACGTGACATTACGTAAAGTAATGTCAGGCCACGTGACTCATTGCATCAAGTCAGTTTAAATTGAGAACAACATTATTTTCGTTAGCGTTGTTGACACCATGACGTCACATGACATTTGACTTCACACAGCGAGACACGTGACTTCATGACGTACGCGAATGTCATGAGCCCCAGTCGATTACTCGGGTCCCTGACAATCAGCATCGGCAAATATTCGGGTAATGACTGGCGTTCGATCAAAGATGAGAATAGCCGAGCTTTAACTATGCCTGAAGTTCAAACCACGCTTTACGCTTTGCGGACAAAAACGCATGACCATGATGAACACCCAGGGTATATATTTATCGTCAGATCACGTGGCCCCTTGCTCTAGTTGCGAATTGATGAGGGGATAGCTGTTTCTTTCGTTAACTGTTTTTGTTTCTGCCACAGCGCGGAGAGGAAAGGTAGTGCGTGGTTTTGCACGCTATAAACGTCAGGGATTAGTTCGTATAGGTATTTACAGTGAAAGTACGAAAATCGTTGCACCGACCCATTTTATATATACATATCTTTGAGGCACCCAAACCTCTTTTCCTCTTTGGGGAACTGCCTTGGAAAGTTTTCCCCGAGAACAGGAGCATTGAAAGCACTTAATGTGACATATAAATTCGACGTTACATAGAACTATACTTGTGTACCGGAGGATGCCAGAAATTAAAAACCTATAGTGACCTCAAAAGGACAGCTAGCTGCACGTTGCCAGACTTTCTAAGGTTCAGAGAAGTCTCGTTCTCAAGTTTTTCCTCGAGCTTCATTATAAATCACATCACAAAATAAAAGCAACGGAAGATTACTGTTAACAAGTGACAGAATTAAAAATGTTGTATTAACACCCTTAAACAAAGGATAAAGTTCCCCAGAAGTATAGAAATAAAAATATATGGAATAGAGGGGGGGGGGGGGGGGGGGAGGGTGGTATAGTAGTTTAAAAAAAATAACATATTGTGTTGTAAAAAGTTTCTTTGCCCCGCATCTTCGTCACAGATCAGAAAGTATGGTCCCTGAAACTACTTTCTTTTCAAAAACACTCCTGCCAGAAAGCGTGTTTTTGTGGTACCAGACGCTGGCACCGTTCCTCAAGTTGCTGCACCGAACGTCTGTCAAATACGTGGTTTGCATTGAGCGGGAACCTTCTGCAGCGTGCATGTTGCGCCACCGGATTTGATTTCCTCAGCAAAGGACAAATTGCAGTGACTTCCAGCCACCAGCATAGAGTACGATAACGTCACGTGCTAACCAGGCATGTTAAGCAGTTTATTTTACTTAATAAACGCGATGTTCGCAAACTAGCAAAAATAAATTCCCAAACTGTGACGTTGCGAAGTTTATGTAGCAGTATTGCGATGATATAAGGCAGCCTAAAAAGATGTTAAAGTAGATGACTGAAGAAGCACAGAGTTGTAAAATAAGAACCCTAGGCGAGTGCACGTAAAACTGAATTAGCCTCCCGACGTAGTATTTTGCGAAGTTTCGAGTTGATGCAAGTTGATGCGCCAATGTAATTTCTGTTGGGATTATAAGGATCTACATCTGTCCTTCGCGCAATTTATGTGCAATTCGGAATATCATTCCATCTCTATGAATTTTGTTTTGTTTTGCAGCGAGACATCGTTCATAGGATTTTTTTTTTAAGAATATATTTAATTTCTTCCTTGTTGCACACATTTCGTGTATTTGCCTTCAGATCTATCATGTGAGCATAATGTCCTTTTTGGAATACCCTGCAACCCGGTTTTTCACACTGTCAAACAGCGAACAAAAAAGCGCGTTTTCGGAGATTGACTCAACAGCTGACGAATTTTCGTGTCGTACACCCGTGTCGGTCTCAAGCGGTTATCTAGACTTCAAACAGTCAAATTTATTAATAATAAAGAATATTTAATTAATGATTGAAGATTTGACAACATAAATAAAGATAACTTAAGGCCAGCTGAACTAGAAAAAAACATACACATAAAGAAAAGACTATTCACACCGCTGGACTAACAACTGATTTTCTTTTTCCTCCTCTTCTACTACAAGCCACACTTGAGGGAACAATTATCTTTTCCTCTTTTTTGCTTTCTAATTCACCTGATTTTTTTTTCTAAGGAAAAAGAAAATCAGTTGTTAGTCCAGCGGTGTGAATGGTCTTTTCTTTATGTGTATGTTTTTTTCTAGTTCAGCTGGCCTTAAGTGAACTATGAACCAACTAGCTCAGCTCAAGCCTGTCACAAATAAAGATCCGATCACCTTAAAGATATGCATTTTAAATAAATACTTCCAAATTAATTGAAGCATGATCTGCAAATTTTATTGACGTTTTTATCCTCCATTGCCGTGTATTAATACTTTGGAAGAGCATCAGATAAATTTCTAATTTTGTAGCTTAACTAAATAACTAAATAACCGAGCTGGTTACCAGCTGCAGGACCTGTGGGCACATTCTGTGCATGATCACCGTTCTTTGCCAGAAACCTTTTTTTGAGGCGATGACCCCTACGTTTTAGACTCCAGATACAATCTTACCGTAGTGCATTCACCACTTCTACTCTTACGTTTGCGTGGCATTATTGTCAGCACTGTGGTTCGTGTTGGTCGGCGCAATAGCACACAAGTGATATACTAGCGATGCTTAGTAAAAACCCTTAAGATAACTCCGATAGCGGTATCCGTATACTCCGAAGGCGCCTTTGTCCACGAATAGTTACATTATCCGATATCGTTATCGGAGTTATCGGGACCATCGACCTAACCTCCCTACTATAATCGCAGGCTCTTAACAAAACGCAGGGCTGGGCGAGTTCTCAGCGTCTGGTTACTGCTTCACAGGCAAAGCGATTGTGGCATACGCAGATAAGACTACCGAAGAAGCAATAGGAAGCAAGGGGCGTTAACATAACCCGAGCCATGTGTTCCTGAAGCTTTCAGTGATTACAGTAGCAGTGCCGATAAACACGTATGGACTCTCGTCCACAGTGCATGCTTTTCGGCACCCTAGCGGCGCTACGGGACGGTCAATATAGAAAATCGAAATGTTAGTGACAGCTGGAAATTACATTAACGTCCCTTTCCGTCGCTGGATGTAACATCTGTGCCCGGAACGTTGTTCAGATGAGCGACGATAGCAGAGGGTGAAGGAGATATGGAAAGGGAATGGGGGGAGGCGGCTACATTCGGCATTGTCGCAGAAATCGAAATCCCCAAGCTGGTTCCGTCTTCAGCTTCCCCGAGTCGGTCAATACTGTCAACGCTGGGTCATCGTGAGATAAATTTCACATACGAGCACAAGTCAGGCTCACTTTAGCTAAAATACCTCGGGCGTGTTACTTTTCGTTGTGTCGTTAACCGGTATGATAGCGTTGCATTCGTGCATAATTAACTTGAAGACGCTGGGAAGATAATTTGTACATAGTTTTTTTTTTTTTTTTAAGAAAACCATAAAAGATACATTAATGCGATCTCTACAGGTGAGTTATACGGTCAGGGGGACGCACCATAGCCAGCAAATTGATAAAATGAGTCTATTAATTAGATGTAGAAACATTATCAGCTTTTTAATGAGTGAATATAAACATATTGTTTCGTTATAAGAAGAATTGCACGTTCGGGAAAAAATACTTCTGAAGAAGTGGTACCTAGTGAAAATTGTTTAGAAGCAGCTGAACAGGTTAATTACCTTGTCATTTAAAATAAAATAATTTTCGCGAATTGTTTACATTTATTTTTTTTATTTTTTTATTTATTTCAGTACCTTCAAGGCCCAGGGGGCGTTACAGAAGGGAGTGGTGGAAAACATAAAAACAAACAACAGGTAGTAAATACAGAAATTGAAACAGAGAATGAAAAATGCAGACAACGCCGGTTATTAAGAAAGTACATAACACTCAATGG